CTCTTAAATTATCATTGTATACCATGGTACCTACAGTATTATACATGCTTACCCAATGTGTTCTTACAAGCAAGAGGAGCACATTTGTTCACATGAAGCCAGTCTGAGTCTCATCCAGCCATTTACTGAAGTATTCCGGAAAATCGGCTTCAAAAGCATAGACCAGCATCTCGTACTAGTACTATAACTTTCTTCACGCTTTGGATTGAAAGTGTATCTGTTCTTTAATTCCATTTGTGACACCTGGTCCTTGTGTCCTTTTTGATCTCGCCATAATGGTTGGTTTGCCAAGCCCTTCTGAATTTTCGAAAATCAGAGTACAGTGCGAATAGTCTGCAGCCATCTCTGCTCAAGACTTAGTAAGACACATTTCTAGTGACCCATATGCACCTAACATTCCTTTGACAGCAGGAATTATGCCTGTCACTTGAGTTTGAACTTTTCTCCAGGACAGAAATGTTATTTTTTTTTCCCTACATCTTCTTGTACTAGTAGTACATTGTATACTGTAACTTAGTATTAATTCACTTAATAGTAATATTTAAAGTATGATATTTGCCATGTGCTTTTTACAGTGCATTCACTGGCCACGATATGAGGCGCTCCTAGTGAAACAAGCAGACTCCCAGTGCAAGGCAATGTGACCTAAGTCTTTTACCACAGCCAGAGCAAACCCCAGTGAAAAAAGTAGTTTAGTGCTCTGCACCCTCACCCCCTTTGCATCCCCGCGCTGAAGGCAACTGTGCAAGTGCACTTGCATCCAGGTATTATAGACGCTTTTGAAAGCATTGCCACAGCTTGTTTGCATACAGTACTGTATGTCCAGTCTGGTAGGGAGTTCAGAAAATTTTAACCAGAGAGTGTACATCAAGCATTTTCTTTATCACAAATGGTCTAGGTGCCAATTCAGTACAGTACATACTGTATGCAGTACTGACTCGGCATGTAATGTAGGCAACGATATGGCCTACAGTATTGTAGGTCTATGTTAAGGTTCTGTTATTGCACTATTCAACATGGTATTTTTCAAGATCCATCTAGCATCGTGGTACAGCACAATCAATAATATATTGAATAAAATTCTGGAAAATATTCAAAAAATGCAATAAATCCCACAGCAGAGGGGGCTGAAAAGCTTTAAGCATTATAAAAGACTTCAGGGACATGTAATTCAATGTACTGCACCTGAAACAGGCTTAGCAATTGCTGCTACAGGAAACAAAATGACCTTTTTTAACAGGTAGAATTTTCTCCAAATGTCTTTTGTGTCTTCCTCAATGATCCAGTGACTCCCCAGGGTCCAGCTGTGTTTGCACAGCACACTTGAGAAATGTGGTTTTGTAACATGCAGATACAGTCTGTGTGCCTTGTGAACTGCAAGCGTCAGACAACATTGAGAGGATTCAGTGTGAATGTTTTTTCTGCTGTTTTGTCTACAGGCAGAACCAAAACTAATTTAATGGCAGAAAGCCGTTAACTATTCCGGGTGTTTGATTATAGTTGAAATCAGATTGCAACATAATGTTTTCACATTGCAATTTAAACATGGAAGCTCTACAGGTGTGAGAAACATTCTGCAATAAAATGATCTCCTTAACAACAAAAAGTCTGTTTTTGAAAGCAGTCTTGCATTGTTCCATGCAGAATGCTTTTGAATGTCATTTCATGTTAAAACGATGCTAAATGGAGGTTTTTTTTAGTGCAGGGAGTTTCTTTCTCTGATATAACCTATGTAAAGGTCCCTCTACTGGCCATGATGTTCATCATGAATCTTTAATAGCAAATTTGACTTTGAGATCCTATACTCAGTTGGATTTTTCTAGAGAAATCCAGCTGTTTAAGGTTTTTTCTTTCACTGGCTTTCTTGTGAAAGTCTGCTAAGAAACCTTCATTGCCAATTTTTGTAGAAATGCCCTTGCTTTTCTACAGTAGTTTATTTATCCTGTTATTAATGTAAAAAAAAACAAAATTCTAATGTTTTTCTTTGGACCTGTGATATTGAAACAAAGACAATTGTTAATTTAACCCGCCTTATTACTATTATGGCAGGTTATTGAATTGTTTTTGGCATGAAATTAGTAATCCTGTAATGTAAGAATGAGTTGGTGTCTTAAAGGGAATACTTAAATATTTGACACCATGGAAGAGGGGGGGGGAAGGGCAAAAAAGACTGACTGTGTTTACAATCAAACTCGTATGAATGAAAACACTTTACTCGTCATTACAACATCTTGGATAATTCTGTAGCACGCCCATTTCTTTAATTCTTCAATTATCTACAGGAACAAAAGTAAAGGAGATGGCAGAACAACTTTTTCTCATCTAGCATAAATAATTATTATTGAAAGTTAACCTACATTCTGTTGGGTTTTTTTTTTTTTTTTTTTTAGTTTCTAGATCCTAGTATCTGTCAACTTTTGATTGTTGTGCCTGACTGGGTTCTGTTCTCACAAAACTATTCATCTGCTACTTGGCTTGAAATGGCAGAAACATTGTGTTTTGTATGTGGTCCGTGTCAGTCATGCAAAGCGCTGTCTGGGATGTGTTGTATATATTTGCATGGATTGCAATCGACCGAAATCCACCGGGCTTCCGCTACAGGTTTCAGTGCAGCTTTGACTGTTTTTCTTAACTCTCAACACAAAGGCTGTGTTTTATCGCGAATGCACCTCACCGGCTCTTCCCTTTCCTACAGGGAGCCGAGACGGATCTGAAACGGAGGTATTTAAGGAAAACCTGGAATGTGTGTAGAATAATGAGAGCTGGCAGCTCTATTCATCTCTATTCACCAAGATGCCATTTGTATCATGACCAGAAATCAACATTGTTTTTTAAAGCCACCATTAAAGGTATAGGATCATTTTGCAGGCTTCAAAATGGCCCTAACCATGACTATGACTTAAATGAGAACCAACAAGCTCCATATGCAGGAGCTCTCAGTGCACAGAACTTAGGAGTGATCTTGCGTACTTTCACACTGAATCGGTCGGTGTGCTATCCTGGCAGTGGCTAAGATCTTTCATTTTCAGTAGAATGTCAAGCTCTTCAATAGAAATTTAACATGATTATTATTAATGACGGATGGAGGCTCAGTATCTGCATTATTGTCTTAGACAAATGAGCAAAGGATCAGTGGATATACAGCAATTGATCAATCAGGAGTTAGTGCACAAACATTACCAGCCTCTCTTAGGTGGCTGTTGAGCAGAAATGAGTAGATGATCTTGGATGGGTGATTGTTTAAATAGAAAGTTTTGTTTACTTTGCATTTTGCATTTTCTGTCGATTAAATTGGCCATCTGCTACTACTATATTGTAACGGAAACAGATCGGCAACAATGCTAACAATCCGTTGTTTAAAAGGGATTTAAATGGTACACATGATGACCAGTCATTCACTTTTGAAAGTATGGAACCAACAATTTTTTGCTCTGTTTTATTCTAGATCCTTCTGCAGTGATGTACACAGCAGGCAAAGACCATTGATTTATTCAAACAAATGCAGTAGCCATGTTCACGCTGAATGACATTTTGCAAGTTTTCACTATTTACTGGTGGATGAAGTTTGGAGTATTCAATGGATTAGTTCCCCCAGTACTGTAGCCACAACAATGCACTGTGAGTTATAGACTATACTATGCCAACTTTTTATATTTGCTGTGCCTATATTTATGAAGCTAAACTAGTATTTAAAAGTACCTTATAATCCTTTGTTTTTAGTTTTGGATGGTGTTTAGTTCACTTGGTGTTTATACTGAAATGCATTTTAAAAGCATCAAATGCTGTTTAGTTATAAGTGTGTTTCCTGCTTCTTGGGGCATTCAGGAAGGTTCAGGCGAGCAGCTGTCAGTGTGCGGGCAGCTGAGGTCGATTCCACCCTGAAAATAGAAAGAAACAAGGCTGCGTTTTGGCCTTTGACTCCTGAGGAAGCCTCAACAGCCGAAGCCCCATGTTTCCTTTTCACTCTCATCATGGAATTAACCTCTACTGTTTCTGTACAGTATACATGTCTGCACATTTTCCTACTGCTTTATCTAATTCAGGGTGCCGGGGGCAGATGGATTCTATCCCAGGAAAGCAACGGGCACAAGGTAGAGTAGAGCCTGGACCAGGACACCAGTCTGTCACACACAGTCTGGCAAACATGGGGAGAACATACAGACTTCATGCACACAGCACCCCTGGTACTGGCCATCATGCCTCCCCTGTGTGCTGTACATACCAGCATTATGTAATGACTTCAACTAAGCAATGTCATTGTACTAAAATAACAGTGAATGATTTATTTTATATTGATATACTGTATGTCGATGCAGGATTTTTTTTTTTTTCATTTTGGGAGCTCCCAGGTCTTGCAGTTTGAAATACCGCTGGCAGTACAGTTTAGAAATAAAGATCTGTGTGGATGCTTAAAAGCAATTGTAAAATGTGTCATCTTGAAAGCAAAGGGGAAATAAAAACTGTGATCACTGCAACCTGCAAACATTGGTTGCAGAAATCTTCTTTCAATATTATTCACCAAACCTTCTCTGTACCACAGAAGATGCACCATTTCTGAACTGCTTACTCCTTCAGGAGTTCTCAGTCATGAGATGAAAACACCAACATTCAATTTTGAATGAATTGAAATGAAAGAGTCTCGTAAGTGTACAAGATTAGCCTTTGGATTCTAGTTTAGGAAGAAGATGCTCTCAAATTTAAACAAATGAGTAATGAGACCTAAAAAAAAATAGTGACACACCCTAAATTAAAATTTTAACTAAGAAAGATAATTTGTGTATTACAAAATATATTGATTGAGGTAAACCGATCCTCCCTACCTCCACCCACCAAAAAAGAAGTAAGAATATGCCTTTAAATATTTTAATCAATGTTTATACCATCCTGTGGGATCGAGGCTGACAATTTTCCAGCTTTGCAGCAGCTGTAGCTGTTCTGTACTAATTCTCTTTGCCCTCACTCACTCGCTCTCTCATCTCCACCTCTCCCTCTCTCTCTTTTATTTTCTCTCTCCTTTGGATTTCAAATCATGATCCTTTCTGCTGCAAAGAAAACTCCACCTACTCCGAGCTCACAGATGCTAATGTACTCTAACACTGACAGTGCTAGCTTTTCTCTCACAGATCCAGTCCCGAACAAATACAGCAGGCTGGTGGGGAAAGATGGGCTGTTTGCCTTAGGAAGAAGCGTGTTGATGTTCCATTATCTTCTATTCTCCTGCATGGTTTTCACAGCCGAGGATTAAGAAACGCACACATTGGATTTCTAATCATAAAGGATGCTGAAGTCCCTCTTCTCTCTTGTCGATTCCAGGGGAAGGACTAATGTACTTTCTTACTATTAAAGATATCTGCCTAAGAAACAGTCTTCAGCCTCTGGAGGCATGATTTCCTAACTGATGTAGCTCCATGGACACTAACCTCCTTGTGGATTTGAGTATCTGTAGCTTTTTGCTGTAAATTGTAAAGAAGGAACAAACAGAAAAAAAAACACCTTCTTTCAGTCTCTGTGGTTTTCTGAGTTGCATGGAGCAGTGATTTTTTTGGGGGGCATCTGATAAAGAGGTAGGATACCCTTTACATTTCAAATAGACAGTAAGGACATTGAGTTTCCAGTTGTGTACACTTACTATTTTTGCAATTGATGTGAGTTTTATATGATGACATTTTTAGTACTGTTGCCCATGTGCTGTGTACCTAAGCAGGTGCAGAGTCTCTTTTAACTACATAAAGGCAGATTTCATAATTATTCCTGATCATTTTAGGGATTGCTGTAACTATATTTTCAGAGATCTGCAATTTATATAGAAAGGTTACTTCATTTAAACTCCCAGATTTTAGACAGCAGAACTATTCAATATTCGTCAGGGACATGTCTTAATACACATCGCGTGCAGCACTCCTGTAAGAGTGCATGTGTTGAAAAGTGAGAAGCAGAGGTTTGATGTCGGTGAGCTCTGTTATCACATGTGCTCAGTATTTGGTTTTACCTCTAGTCGATTTCATTCATGTTTATCAGCCAGGTGACGTGCAACCCCCCCACCACCGCCACCAAAACTGTAGATAATCTGTTGCATTTTCCTGTGGGATCTAACATTGAACCTACTCTTAAAACTAAAAGCACAAATATTTTATATTTATATGCATCCAAAGTGAAATTGAAGTGTTAAAGCAGAATTCTATGCCAGAACTCTACAAGGAAGTGAGTGTTATTATGGTATTGAGGTTTTAATTCACTTAATCTATTAATAAAGTCATTCAAGTCACCTAATTCAATGCATCTTCCCTCATGCAATGTGTGCTGAAAGTTACAATAATAAGGTTTCTGACCTGCTGCTTTGAAGTCATTGACATGCATTCCTGCATGTTTTTATATAACCTTGTGGGATCATCACAGTGCCTTTGAACTCGGCCACTGGTTTTTTTTTCCCCCGTTTTCTCAATTTCTCATTTTCCAGTGAGCTGTGGTAAAGCTCAGATAAAGGAGATTGCTGCTTTCAAATGATAAAGCCGAGGTGCACTTTCCGATGTCATTTGCAATCACTAATAATCAATGAGCCTTCAATAGGCTATAATACCTGTTTGTGATATAAATTCATGCAATGAACAAGAACATGTCTGAGAGATCTGAACCGTTTTTATTCAGGTCCAGGCCTGGGAATAGGTTTTTAAAACATGGCTAAAGTTTAGGATGCATGCTTTAATTTTTAAATACTTCCTACAATATGTTTGTGTACGGTCACAATCGGACTTTGTTTACAGCGCTCATTTCATTAGCATACACCTCTTATGTAATTCACAGGTGCTTGTGAATAAAAAAAGAAAATTGAGCTGAAACATTTTGTGCCAGAAATGCTTCTACTTTGGCAACAATAAAAAAGACAGAACTGAACATAAGTATCAGTGTTAGAACCATCTCTAAATTTCATATAGAGGGGTTTGTGTTGCAAAATGACTACCCAAAAACTAAATTTCAGTGTAAAAAAGTCTATAATGAGCACTTCTGGGAAACCTGGCTGGCTGCCCAGTCTGTTAAGAGAAACCCCTACATGGCTGGAAGGAAATCAATTGACAGAGGTACAGAATTAGCTGCCTGTTCACCCACTGAAACAGAAGATTGGCACTGTCTTTAGTACAGGCACATACTGTACAAGCTCAGCACAGAGAAGCAGAGACAGGAGTGAAAAATTCTAGCCCTCTGGAACAGGAGATATCACATCTGTACAGGAGATCTAGGTGTTCAAACAACAGAATTTCAGCCAACTTGGACTGGAACAGAACAGAGTTTGGACGCAGTTAAAATGAAATGGGATTGACTGTTCATAAGCAAGGCACTTGACAGTGCAGGGTGATGGCTGTGTGATCAGTGAGCCACATATTAAATTAAGATGGGTTTACAGTACAAGAACAGGGAGCAGGACTACAGTGTCTTGCTCAAATCCTTGGTAAGCGGTCATGTAGTAATATTAGACTAACAGGGGAGTAGTATTAATTATAAATGAAATGGTTTTTGATCCATTACTATTATATAGAAAGCAATAAAATAAAAAGACTTTCAGGTTTAGGGGTGTATAAAGCACACATTATCAGAGACCCTGGTACAACCACCCATCAGCATCACACAATAGTCACAAAATAAAATAGTGACCCTTTTGCACCATCATTGCTCAAACTGTCAAGTTTGTATAGATTTGTCATGCAGACAGTGAAATCATACCTAAAGAGCAAGCATGTGTTAGCCATCCTTTACACTGCTGCAGGAGCCTTATCCTTCAACAGGGACAATTGTATCCTAAATGCCTACAGTATCTGGAGCAGATGTCTCTCTCCACATTTTCAAAGATCAAGTAATTTACTCTTTTCTTTGAAATGTTAGGATTTTTGTACAGAGTACAGTGATTTCTAAATGTAGACTTGGAACACCTATGCCAGTTTTAATTTTAGTTGTTTATGTGATATGCTTTTGTAACATCAAGTCTTTTTTCTTTCTCCACTGACATTTGGTAGGAGGCTAAATCGCACTGCAGTGAGTAATCTGGAGTCCAACAGTTAAATGCCCGCTTTAAACTAAACAGGTTTTTCTTTTCCCCTTTAAAAGGGATAAGACTTCCTATCAAATCCCTTGGTCTCCATACAGAATCCATATTAAAAGAGGAAAGAAATAAACAATTCCTTGACTTCCTTTTGAAGTCGCATGTCATGCAAATAGAATGTGATGCTCAGAGCTGCAAAGTTCAAATTAAGCACCAGAAGGCAAGAATCAAATAAACCAGAATAAATCTTTAATATGAAATCGCAAACCAAGATGAATAAATTCAAAACCTGCTCACACTTAACAAGGAATGTCTTTAAACTAATGTGGAGGGACAGGTTCAATACGTTGCATTTACAGACACATCAACTACTCTGATACATTTAGACTCTACTTGTAATGCAGACATTACCCAACTGAATGTGCAGGGTGATGCCAGGAATTATCTTAAAAAGAAGGGAACTGACTGCAATACATTTTGCTTCCTTATTTGATATTCCGTATTCCTGTTGAGCTATCTTCCAACAAAGAGGAGTCTGTCTCTTCATCTATTTTTGCTTGCATACTGACACACTCACCTCCTGCTATCTTCCATTTCTCTTCATTCTGCGTATGCAAGAGAGAACGCCAGTATGAGCTTAACTCCCCAATCACTCACCTACTGCAACGTGTTTTAATTGGGGGAAAAAAACAAAATGTCTAAATGTTTTTTCCCCTGGTCGTGTGGACCAGTCTATCCTGAAATATCTTTATTAGCTCCAGCTGGCATATTGCTTTTAAGAAAAAAATGAGAATCACAAAATCCTAATTAACAATGATAAACTCCGATATAAGCAGAAATTAAGTCCTGTAGTTAAGGCCAAGATGATTTACAGTAAGTCGATGGGAACACTACGGTATCTATCCTTTGTTGTGCAAAAATGACTCACGGGAATTGCAGGGCATCTATGATTTTGGAAGTATGGCCAGTGAGAGATGCCAACTCTCCTGTAGGTGTGAAAAACAACAAGCTGCCACGCTGTAGGTGCGCTGGTGAAAAACGGGTACAAGGTCATGGGAGCAAGATGAGGGTCGGCTGTCAATTCCAGATTGCATGAAGCCGTAAAGCAGCAAGAATGTAACGAGTATCCCGTGCCCAGAATCCAACTGGGAGAAGATCCAAGCAAAGGAGCCCCATCTCCCAAAACCTCAGTGTAAGTGTTGGATCTTAGAATGTTGCTTGCATCCTGTGCAGGTGCTGGAGTAATGGCAGCTACAGATATTTCCATCACATTGTGTTTGGACACCGATGCTGCTGAAGCAGCACTGGGTAACAGGAGCTATTCTGCAGCCAGGAGGAGATGCTTCTGCTGGGATGAATGCAGAGCCCTTGCATGGCAGTACAGGTGGGCAGCTGGTCGGTGTGTGAATTACTGGACCTGCTGCAGTCCAGTAATTCATCTCAGCTGTTAAACTCGTCATGGCTAAAACCTGAGAGAAATCTTGGTAGGAGCATCACTAAAGTTTCTCATTGCTTATACTGTCAGAAAGTCTAAAGCATCTGGTTAGAGCCTCTTTTGTGCTGTTTCTTTCAATATAAGTCTTAAAAAGTCACAGCTTGTTCAGGGCTATACTATGTTTCTGGGTGTTCATCTTGGCCAGATATATTTACTAGACATTGTCGGAGGCTGCTCATACATGAATTAAAATATAAATATTTTCCTTCTTCACTCTATAAAATGGAGCTATACCAGTATGTGCATATATACTGTACATTCTCTCTGAACATTTCCAAAAACTTCACAAGTATAGACTTGCCTCTTGCCTGTGAAGTTACAAATTCCATAAACACTTTACCCCTACCCCTGTGTTTGGCTTTTGCAAATGAAGTTCAGTGTGCCGTGATGTCTCTTACGGTACACTTTCTTCATTCTCTTTGTCAAAACACTTCAACCATCTGTTGTTACAGCCAGATCACCATGGTTTCTTTTGAAAAAGCTAAAGAGGGTATAAATGCTGCCAATGTGCTTAATACACAGATGTATCATTTTATTTGTATTGGGGCAAAAATGAACACTATACTTGAGACACAAGAAATGGAAATAAATATCCCAGGAGGTTTAGTTCAAGGACTCTTGTGTGAATCTCAAGCGATCTTCTTAGAGGTATTTTTTTTTTTAACGCGATGGTTATATCTCGACAGGGAAGATATTATGAATTACTCTTTAAGCTCTCTTTTACCATTTTTCTTTTTTTTTTTGTAGTGCAACACGAAGGTAAAACCTGCTATCAGGATGTTGGCAAGCTGAATGGTTTAAGAAATGAAGTGAGCTGAGGAAGTGAATTCATTCATTATTTGATTTCTATCTCCAGAGGAGAGCTTCTGAATTCCCTATATAACAAATGCTACACAAGTGCCACTGGCGTGCTATTAAATGCACAATAACACTGCATATCATTTTATGCAGGTTTGCACTGCTGCGGTGCTGTGCAGCAGGCTCTTGGCAAGAAGGAGATAATATTGAAATCAGGCACTAAGTGTAATTAAGTGTCA